GAAAAAACTGAGTTAATCCACTTTACTAAATTATTTAGTGAAGATAACTCAGTTAAACTACATGATCAAGTTTTTAAACCAAAAAAACTAGTGGGATAGTTAGGTATTTGGCTTGACAATACTCTTACTTTCAAGAACCATGTTCAAATTAAGATATCAGCTGCTGAAAGAGTTCTTAATTAAATAATCAGACTTTCAAATACTGGAAAAAGTCTTACTTTTCAAGCTATGAGACAACTTTATATAGCTTGTATTACTTCAGTAGCTGATTATGGTGTTCAGATTTGATGGAAGAATCAAAAGAATCTTCTCCATAAGTATGAGAAACTTTAAAACTCTGCTTTAAGAAAGGTTCTAGGAGCTTTTAAAACTTCTCCAATTTATGCTATGAAGATTGAAGCTGCTATTTCTCCTGCTAAAGTAAGGTTTAATAGACTATGCAGAAACTATGCTTATAGACTATTAAAAATGCAAAAAGAATATACAATCAGAAAAAGAGTATCTTCTAGCTTTCCACCTTATAATAATGGTGTCAATCTTGATTGGAGAAGGTTTTTAGATTGGAATCAATCAGAATTAAATAATGAATATGTTGTACAAACATCAACTAAAAGAAAAAGAAAAAGAAGAAAAATCAAGTATCCAAGTCAACTATTTAGAATTTGTTCAATGATTTCAAATATATTACCTTCTCTAAAAACAGAGAGAATCAAAGCAAAATAGAATGCACCTTGGTCTGAAAACCTAGCTGATTTGATAGATATTCAAATTGAAAATTCAGACAAGAAAACAGCTAAAGATAGTCACATAAATAAAATTAAAAATCTAGATAATAGATCTTTAATTCTCTATTCAGATAGATCCAAAGCTGAAGAAAGTCAATATGCTGGTGCTGGTGTATACAATCTACAAGATAATATTAGATTTTCATGAAATCTAGGAAAATATTTTGAAGTCTTTGATGCAGAACTGTTTGCCATAGATAAAGCATTTAAATTAGCAAGTTCTATCTCTCAGTCTCAATCAAGATCAATATCAGATATCTGGGTGTTTTCTGATAGTCAAGCTGCTATTCAGAGACTCATAAATCAAGATCTTAATTCTGGCTTATATTATCTTCAATCTATAAGAAAACTGCTAAGTCTATTAAAAATCAGCAAATTAATCTACATCTTCATTGGGTTCCTGCACATGTAAATATACATGGAAATGAACAAGCTGATCTAGCAGTAAAGAAAGCTACAGAATTAAATCAAGTTTGTTCTGAAAGATATATATTTCTTACTTATATAAAAAGACAAATAAAAGAACAAGCAATGATAGAGTGGTTTGAAGATCTTTTTAATAGAGAAAGTTCTACAAATCACTACTCTTAATTCAAAATAAAACCCAGATGGAAAGCATCTACTGTTTCTATATCTAAGAAGATATGGTCAACTATTTGCCAATTAAAGCTTGGTCATGGATATTTTAGATCTTATCTAATAAGATTATCTGACTACTCTTTTAATTTATGCTATTTCTGTAATTGTGTTGAAAATGTAAAGCATCTACTATTAGACTGCTCAGCTTATCATACTGAAAGAAGAAAAATTCAACAAGAACTTAATATTTCTCAACTATCTTTAAATTTTATTTTTGAAACTCAATTAGACTTAAAATGGCTAGTTTTATTTCTGAAATGTACTGGAATAGCTACTAGACAGTGGCTTTTCCAAATATGCTAATTTTATTTCTTTTTGATTTGTATCATATTGCTACAAGAATTATTATTTTCCTTTAAAATTAATATTATGTCCTATCTGCTATTTGACTTTTGTGGAGAAAGAACATCTCATATTGTCTTGAAATACTTTGAATTTTTTTCTTTATTCAGTTTCTACAATATATACTAAGTAAATTCTAACAGAGAAGCTGTTAGGTAGTCTTCATAGTTACTGACTGTGTAAGACTATAATGAATAATAATAATAATAATAAATATAGATTCTGTTACTTTTTATATTTTTGCCAATAACTCCACAACCATTAATTGTACACATATGAGAATACCACCTTTCAAATTGTCTCTCTGACCTGCTCAGAATGACCCTATTTTTATTAAAAAATATCAACTTTTCCATATTATGTTTTACTCACTATTTGTACTATATATTTTATATTTTTGCTAATAACTCTACTACTATCTACTTTACAGATATAACACTATCTCTGTTCAAATTATCTTACTAACCTGCTTAGAATCCTCTTATTTTCATTATAATATATCTACTTTTGCATCTTATGTTTTACTCACTATTTGCTTTATACAGCTAACCCTAACTTTAATTCTAATTACTTAATTTTCTGTTACTTTTTTATATTTCTGCCAATAACTCTACAATCATTAATTATAGACATGTGAAACTACTACTATTCAAGTTATCTCTTTGACCTGCTTAGAATATCTCTATTTTTGTTAAAATATATTAACTTTCACATCTTATGTCAGTGTCAGTATTTGCTATATAAAATATATATATTTGCTAATAACTCTATAAAACTACTACTGTTTAAATCATCTCTCTGATCTGCTTATAATTATTTTATTTTTCTTACTATATATTCACTACTTGTGGAGAAAAAGTCCATCTAACAGAAATTACAATTTTAATTACTGTAAAAAATAATACTAATTTATTTTGAATTTTTGTTACTTCTATATTTTTGCCAATAACTCTACAATTATTAATTATGTAAATATAATACTATCATACCTTAAGTTATCTCTCTAATCCAGTGCTTAAAATATTCTTATTTTTGTTACAATATATCAACTTTTAAATATTGTATTTTTGTTACTATTTGCTCTATACTTTCTGTTACATCTTCATATTTGCTAACAACTCAAAAACTATTAATTATATAACTATAACAGAACTATTATTTGAATTATGTTTCTGATCTACTTATAATAATTTTATTTTTATTACTGTATCTTAACTTATGCAGTCTTGTAACTTAGTTACTATTTAATTTATATATATATCTGCATCTGCATCTTTTATCTGCATTTTGCATCTGCATCTTGCATCTGCATCTAAATTCAATTTTATTACTGTGCTTATCAGAACTCTAATTCATCTAAATACTTATTTCAGTACTTTGTACAACTCTAGTCTACTTAAATATTTATTAAACTACTTACTAGCTCTCTAACTCTGTCTTACCCTCTTTTTTGTTGATTAATTATTTACTAACTCTGATGCCAGCTATTACTACTTTTAAACTGAAGTAGTCAGACAAATAATATAATTAAAAATTAAAAAAAAAACTTTTATTTTTAATCTTTTTATACTAACTGCAATTCTCTATCTGACTAATTAACCAGAATCTTGTTCTAAGATAACACTCTAAACTTGAAATATATAATTCACTAGAAATATAAACATTTGTCTGATATACAATCTTATTATATATATATAGTAGCTCTCTACTCTAAACTCTTTTTCTAGACCCTATCTTAGTATTTTATTATTATATTTATCTAGCTGACAATAAATATTTGTTTCCAACTGTATCTAGTTAATCTTCTAACCATTTCTTAATTTAACAGCTTCTTATTATTATAAATATAGGCTTAGATTAATCAAGCATCAGATAGTATGAAATCTCCAGAAGATGTTACATGGCCTAACTTGTGAGAATCATACATGTGAATCAGCATAATAAAAATTCTATAGAAGAAATTTTATATAGAAAAAAGTACATGAGATAAAAGATCTGGTATTGGCAACTATCTACAACTTGTAGACAAGATTGCCACTAGCTCTCAACAAGAGATTTATGCAGTGGCAGCCTTTTATGTGTACTTATAAGCATATGACTTAGTGCCTTGCAAGAACACATGTACTTTCAACAGCTCACAAGCTGAGGCTCTGGACTCTTGTAAGTGTTGTTTGTCTGTATAAGGAGTTTGTGGGTGAATTCTTACATAACTCTGAATATATAATAATAACATAATTCTTACAGATTATAGAAATCTCAGTATTTAGACTTCTAGTTCACAGATTTATATATTCTATATATAACTCTCTCTCATCAGTTGCAGGCATTAATCTACTTAGCTCTTTTGTACAACAAAAATTGACAGCAAAATTGATGGCAAAAACTAACAACCAAAATTAACAACTAAAATTAACAGCAAAATTGACAGCAAAAATTGACAGTCAAAATTGATGATGGTCAAAATTGACAGTAAAAATTGATAGTAAAAATTAATGGCCAAAATTGATGATGCCAAAATTGACAGCCAAAATTGATGACAGTCAAAATCAACAACACCAAAATTGACAGTCAAAATTGATGACAGTCAAAATCAACAACACCAAAATTGACAATGGTAAAAATTGACGACACCAAAATTGACAACAGTCAAAATTGACAGTAAAAATTCATGACACCAAAATTGACAACAGTAAAAATTGACAGCCAAAATTGACAGTGAAAATTGACAACAGTAAAAATTGACAGTAAAAATTGACAACAGCCAAAATTGATGGTAAAAATTGACAACGCCAAAATTGACAACAGTAAAAATTGACAGCCAAAATTGACAGTGAAAATTGACAACAGTAAAAATTGACGATGCCAAATTTGACAACCAAAATTGACAACCAAAATTGACAGCAAAAATTGACAGCAAAAATTGACAGCTAAAATTTACAGCAAAAATTGATGACCAAAATTGATGCTGAAATTGCCAGCAAATATTTACAGTGAAAATTAATGATCAAAATTGATGGTGAAATTTAACAACCAAAATTGACCATAAAAATTGGCAGTCAAAACTGACTTAAGAAGCCAGTGCTGTCACAACTATACTTTCCCTTCTGCATGATGAGTGACCTGCTGAGACACTTGATCTAAACACCCAATGGCCTTTTGACTTTGTATCTGTGCTTTCTCAAACTCAGACTGATTGAGTACTTGTGTTGTTTGCCCTCTTCCTGCAGCTTTGCACTAATATGCCTTCATGGCAGTTCTGTACTGATTGTAATAGAAGATCTCTATCTGTGCAACTTTCAACCACTGCTGTATACACTTCTGATGCTGTGCATGTTTTTCCTGCTTTCTCACCAGACTTTCTGAATCAGAATCCTCTTCAAGATTTATTCTGCTCAGTCTTGACCCAAGAAGTGTCAGATTGCTGTTGGGCTGGGGCCAAGAGCAAGACTGCCAGGATTGAGTTGCTATTGGAAGGTCCATGCTCCAGACCTGCTGCCTCTCTGTCTCAACAAGAGCCTGGATGTGTAACACAAGCTGAGATGTAAGTCACTTGCAATTGGTATGCAGCTGGCTTGCAGATTGGCCCTCTTTCTCTGTAAATGAGTGCAGGACATAATGTTCAGCCATAGTGGCCTGAAGATGGTAGCTTAGCTTACTGAAATGCACACCAACAGCCAGCAAAAAGACTGCTGAATTAGAGGACATTACTGTGGGAACAGAATGTTGACCTTGTTCAATGGCAAGCCAGACATCAACATTACTGGGGACTGAGGGAAGAGCCACATCCAGAGGCAAAGATTGACCACCAGCCTCCCAACCTGCCAGGGGCAGCTCATTAATCATGTCCAGCTTAATGATGGTGAGTTCTGGCTGGTACTGCTGAAGGTAGTTAACCAGTCCTGAATGAGTGCTAGTCCAGCTTTGCAGTTTCCCTCCCTTTCCACATGTCCAGAAGACTGCCATGCTTGAATAGGGCAAGATTCAGTGACTGCAGATAAAGGTCTGCTTCACAATTGTCTGTCACTCACAGGCCTGCTGAACCCCATACATACAGACAATGATATCAAAGAACTGGTGAAAGAGGACCTGGTACTGCTTTAACTTCCAGTGTTTCTACAGCCAGTCACCATTATTCCCATTGCTGTTCCAGCCCCAGAGTCATGCAAAGAGTATCTCAATGTTCCTGACTTTTATCCTGAAACCTGTGATGAACTGGATGTCTTTCTGAAAGTGAAAATGTTGAAAGACTTGTGAGATACCAGCACAGATGAGTGGTATATTATCATTGCATGTGTTCTCAAGTCTAGTGAGATGGAGTGGCTGCTGGATGATACAGTTAGCCAGACTTCTGAAGACATTCTTCCAGAAAACCCTCAGACAGAGAATCACCAGCAGCTGCAGCAGCAGTGCAGAGTGAGCAGGATCTAGATGAACATCCAGCATGTGGCTGAATATGTCATGAAAGAGCATGAAGTCAGACTTGGACTCAATCAGTCACCAGTACTGTGGGTGGTAGGCCATCTGTAGAGTTGGGGTGTTGAAGACCATGTGCACCTGATATGGTGGCTTGAATGTCATGGCTGTCCAGTCAAGCTTGTCAAGAAACCAAGCATAGTCATACAGCTCCAGTGTAGATGCCATCCCAAGGCCCTCCTGAATCCTCTCCATGTCAGAACCCTCTTGGGGTGGTTGCATCTGGTGATCAAGCTACAGGCCACTGCTGTGGCTGAGGTGATTGCCCTGGCCTCCATACACATACAGAAGACATTAAAGAAACATCATCATCACCCAAGTATATTTCCAGTGCACCACAGTGTGTGGCTGCAGGCTGTAGACCATCTCAAACCCAGTGCACAGCTTGTTGATGTTCCACTGCAGCCACCCCAGAAGCTGATCAGTATGATAGTTGAGGAAGAGCACTGGGCATTGAGGCACAACTGTAGAATGATTGGCTAGATCACTTTCCCAGAGAATTCAGTCCATGGCCTGCAGAACAGCAGCAGTGACCCAGTACTCCTCCCAAGTCTCATAAAATCACTGGTGGCAGTTGGAAATGGCAACATGGCACCATCACTTGGTGTGGATGTACATGTGCAGCAAGGCCAGAGAGGAATGGCTGATGGCCTTTCCAATATGCTGCCAGATCCATACCAGTCCAGGATCCAGAGCCAATATGTCCAGGTTCTCATTTGCAAACAGGGAATGCTTGCTGGCCACAAAGATCTTCTTGATGGTGTTGTAGAACTGGCAGTAGAGCAGACTCCAGCAGCAAAGTAGGGAGCACTGGTGCAGCTCTAGCATCATGGACCCCAGATCATGCAGGAACAATAGCAGATAGAACTGCTTGCACCAGGACTCTTTCTGTAGATATTCATGTTCTGAATCAGAAGCCTGGGCATTGGCAACCAGTGCACCACCTGCTGAATGTTCATTCAGATTACTGGTATTCTCATCATCTTCATCTTCACTGCTCTTACTGAGCTCTGGCTGATATGCATCTTCATCTTCACTTCTGAGTGCCAGCTCCACCAATCTGTATTGAATGTTGCTGGAGTCTGAGGCCTCAGACATCACTCTTTGCTGGACATGACTGTGAAGTCAGCAGAACTGTTGGAGCTGGACAGCTGCTGCTGGATGGTCATTGTTGATCTGCATCTCCATTAAATTGTCCAGTAAGCTATCAGACTCAGATGAAGTGGAAGAAGAGATTCTTTGTGCAGCTGGTGAATCTCTCAGCCATTCACAGAAACAATCCAGGCAGCAACATCACCAGATGAACATGCAGGGCACATGTGTTGACTCCTGGTGTGACAGGAAGCTCCAGAGTGAGACCACCTTCTTGCCAATATTATAGAAGCTGATGGTCAGATAGTGCCTGTCCACAGCCTGATTCCATATGCAAAAGAAGGCATCACACATGCCAGACCAGATGGCATGCTGGATCAAGAGCTTCAGATTCTTAGCAGTCAGAAGAAGCATAAGTTCCTGAAAGTGCTGAAGCCCTGGATCTTGAACAATTGTCTGCACATACTTTCAGAGACAGTGAAGTTCTGCTGGCTGTAGTAGAAAGTGGAACTCCTGTACCCATGGTTGCTTATGGAAAGTCTGATTGCAGCCTTCTGCCTGAGCTGCAGTGGAACTGAGCTGGACATGTGTGGCACTGGATGGCAGGTGGAGAAGTGTAGATGCAGAGTAAACATGATGGAGAGCTGGAAGAAAGACCTTGTCTGTCCAGAGAGCATACTCCTGCTCTATAATGATGTAGTGCTGGCACTGGAGACTGAAAAGCCAGGGGAAGAGAATGTAAACCTCAATCTCAGGAAATTCAACCAGTCATTCAAACAGAAGATGAGAGATCCAGTGGACTGGTCTCTGGGACCAGCAGACTCTTTCAGTCTGCTCATCTCTCCACTGGACTGAAATGAAATCCAGGTGAAGAGAACTCTTCAGGTTGCTTGTCAGAAACCAGTTGGCTTTCTATTGGAACCCCTCACAGGCCACTGCAAGACTCAAGGCCAGACCACCAGCACTATCAATGTCAATCATGGCATGCAGGGATGCTGGCATCAGAATAGTATCATCTTCCAGATCAATGGTCATGGGGCATGGAGGCACTTTCTCATAGGCTAAAGGCTCTACCAATGCGGACATCCCACTGTATAGCCTTTGGCACTGATGAACTGGCAGGATGGTGTCCCACTGTATGGGATAGGAAGACATGCTGGCATGCTCTAAGACATCTGGACATTCCCAGCTTGCCATCTGTAAGAGAGACACTGTTAGCATGGAGAGCAGCTCTGATGCAGCATGAGCCTCAGTAGAGCACCCATGATAGATCTGCAGCTGTGCCACCAGCTCCTGTACAAGTATGTTATCTTCTTCTGTTGGTTCCACTGTATTTGTGGGCAGGAAGGGTCCATGATCCAATCTTGGCCCTGGTGTACTGGGCCTGGACAGGCCTGAAGGCATTAGCAGTGATGCTGGATCTAGAATGTAGTTAGAGATTTAAAATGCTTGATCATCTTATCCTGTTGCAGACAACTGACCATTCTCACTACTGCTGGATTCTGCTGGTGATGGAGAGCTCTCATGCTCCATTTTGTCAGACTCAGACTCAAGCAAACCCTCTTCAATCATGTCTGGTGGCTCAGAGCTTCTGCACTCAACAGGCACTGCATCAAGAGCTTCCTGTAGGTCCACAAACACATAGGCTGAATCCTCAACAGGCTGGGAAAGACTGGCCGCACTTCAGAAATTGCAGGTCAAGAAGATATTCTGAAACAATGTTGATGTGCTTGCTGATGTGACTGCTTGCAGCTGCTGTTGTCATCTTCAATATGCTTGCACTCATGCCCAAACTGCATCCCTCTCAGTTGCATACTTGCATGGCCACCCACAGCCCATGCTGACTGAAGTGGTTTTCACTGATGTGCTTACTGCATGGAGAAATTACAGAGGATACACTGGAATAATATTAACCCTGAAGTGTCTGAGCCAGAGTCTTGAGGTGGGTGAGATTTTGGCTGGGCTTACTGGGTGAAATGAACATTTGTGATAGATCAGAAATGCCACTCTTCTGATCATCCCAAGCCTATGAATCTAGTAAAAATGTCAGCCTCTTTCTTCCACCAACTTTAAGCCTACAATTGAAGCTCTGTTTTCTCCATTGCTTTATTGCAACCATCTCAGATCATCTCTTTGGTAGTCTGAGGCTTCATCCTGGTCCCTTCTCTTCTCTTTCCTGTTCTTCCAGTTGTTGAATGGATTGCTGTTGACCATGGTAGCTCAGAGATATTCCAGTACCCAGCCATAATCTTCCAGCACAGAGACAGAGCCACACCTCTCCAGTGCCTTCACTGTACTTTAAAGAAAAAAAGCAAGAAGGACACCAAATCAGCCCCAGTCCTCATTATTAGTGATGGTGGGAAGCAGTCAACACACACTGTTGAACAGTTCTCTGTCAAGCAACATGCCTCTAGGTGGTGAGTAGCAGCCCTGAATCTTATGGTCCTATGTATACCATCAATTAACAGGTGGTTCTGGATAAAGGTCTTGCCCAAACCACTCCTTCCAACAAGAGTACACCATCTCCAAGTCCCATGAGTGTTCCTGCATGTACATTATACAACAGCAAGCCCAATCTGAAAAGCCAGAACCAATGGCTATCTAGCTCTCAATCAGTAACACCAGAAGAGGTTTTGGCTTCTGATAATTCAATTTCACATCAGATAAGCAACAGGCACTCAGAGATGATCTGTCAAGAGAATAGAAAAGAAAAGACATCTAGATTGAGCCAGAGCCCAGTTCTGGAGGACAGCTGCTTTCAAAAACAATCAAGACCCTTGCTCAGCAGCTCTCAAGTGCCAACACCAATCCAGACACCACAGAAAGAGAGAGAGACATCAGAATAATTCTCCTGCTTGACTGACAACTCTTCTGATGCTGACACTGGCTATTCTGGAAACCATCATCAACAATCAAGCACAATTAGTTCATTAGCAGCATACTCAACATTGGCTTCAGATCTGGATGTGAATCTGGATGGATGGAATCACATCAACAACTCAGTACAGAGGAGTTCAAGAGAACACTTGCTTTATAGACAGCAGAGGGAGATCAGATGTGTGGAGAAGATGATAGAAAGGAGAGCAAATTGCAGAAGCAGGCATTGCAGATGGCCATGCATCCAAATAAGATGGTCTGCTGAAGAGACCACAAGACTGGTGCAGCTGTAAAAGAGGCATGGCAACAACTGGACTTTGATCAAAGAGCTGGACAAGAATATGCCTGAGCCCAGACTGTGGAACTGTACACAGGTGGACCTTAAGAATCAGATGCAAAATATGAAGATTGGCCTTATGAGATATGCAGTGGCCTTCTGTATGGGGCAGTCTGATCTTGTAAACTAACATTTGACCACAGGAGAGGTGATCCAGTACCAGATGACTACTGTCAGATTCACCTAGATGACCAGCACCTGAAATCAATTGCACAAGGGCAGCTAAGACAACAAGAATGAGAATAGCTTCCAGGCACCCTAGCATGATTGGACAAGTATTATGGACCCAATGAGATGATTGGGGAAAGGTTTCATATGCAGCACAGCAGAAGAGAAGCAGCCTATTAAGCTGACTTAGGGAAATAGTTGTTTCAAGCTGATCAGATACTTTGCCTGTGAAGCCACTGCTGGACATGCTGCATAAAATTTGGCAATTCTGGCTTGGATTATATGCATCCATTAGCAAATCACAGTAGCAGGAAATATTATGCTGAAAACATCAGAATGAGAGTAAAAGAAGACACTGTAGCAGATTCAAGATAATATAAGGAAAGCTGAAGAGAACAGATCTATAGAAGAGAAGATATGCAAATGATAAAACCCAGACTTCTGTCACCTAATTCAGAGGCTCCATCTTGCAGTCAATGTTTGCAGATGAAAACCAGCAGTCAAAATTAACAATGGTCAAAATTGATGGCCAGAATTGATGGTCAAAATTGACAGTAAAAATGGATAACAGCCAAAATTGATGATGCCAAAATTGACAGTGAAAATTGATGATGGTCAAAATTGACAACACCAAAATTGATGGTCAGAATTGATGACACCAAAATTGACAGTAAAAATTGACAACAGTCAAAATTGATGATGCCAAAATTGACAGTAAAAATTGATGATGGTCAAAATTGATGACACCAAAATTGACAGTAAAAATTGATGATGGTCAAAATTGACAGCCAAGATTGGTCACAGCGGTCAAAATTGACAGTGAAAATTGACAATGGTAAAAATTGACAGTAAAAATTGACAGCCAAAATTGACAACGCCAAAATTGACAGTAAAAATTGACGGTCAAAATTGACAGTAAAAATTGATGATGGTCAAAATTGACAACACCAAAATTGATGGTCAGAATTGATGACACTAAAATTGATGGTTAAAATTGACGACAGTCAAAATTGACAACGCCAAAATTGACAGTCAAAATTGACAACACCAAAATTGATGACACCAAAATTGACAGTAAAAATTGATGATGCCAAAATTGACAGTAAAAATTGACAATGGTCAAAATTGATGACACCAAAATTGATGGTCAGAATTGACAACACCAAAATTGATGGTCAAAATTGACAACACCAAAATTGACAGTAAAAATTGATGATGGTCAAAATTGACAGTCAAAATTGACAACAGCAAAATTGGTCACGGCAGTCAAAATTAATGGTCAAAATTGATGACAGCAAAATTGGTCATGGTGGTCAAAATTGATGGTCAAAATTGATGATGGTAAAAATTGATGATGCCAAAATTGATGGTCAGAATTGACAACACCAAAATTGATGATTAAAATTGACAATGCCAAAATTGACAGTAAAAATTGACAACAGTCAAAATTGACAGCCAAAATTGACAGTAAAAATTGATGACAGTCAAAATTGACAGCCAAAATTGGTCATGGTGGTCAAAATTGACAGTGAAAATTGACAATGGTAAAAATTGACAGTAAAAATTGACAACAGTAAAAATTGACAGTAAAAATTGATGGTCAAAATTGACAGTAAAAATTGATGATGGTCAAAATTGACAACACCAAAATTGATGGTCAGAATTGATGACACTAAAATTGATGGTCAAAATTGACAACAGTCAAAATTGACAACACCAAAATTGACAGTCAAAATTGACAACACCAAAATTGATGACACCAAAATTGACAGTAAAAATTGATGATGCCAAAATTGACAGTAAAAATTGACAATGGTCAAAATTGATGACACCAAAATTGATGGTCAGAATTGACAACACCAAAATTGATGGTCAAAATTGACAACACCAAAATTGACAGTAAAAATTGATGATGGTAAAAATTGACAGTAAAAATTGACAACAGTAAAAATTGACAGTAAAAATTGACAACAGTAAAAATTGACAGTAAAAATTGACAACAGTCAAAATTGACAGTAAAAATTGACAATGCCAAAATTGACAGTAAAAATTGATGAGTCAAAATTGACAACAGTAAAAATTGACAATGCTAAAATTGATGACAGTCAAAATTGACAGTAAAAATTGACAGTCAAAATTGACAGTCAAAATTGATGGTCAAAATTGATGACAGTCAAAATTGACTGTCAAAATTGATGATGGTAAAAATTGATGTTGTCAAAATTGACAGCCAAAATTGACAACAGTCAAAATTGATGATGGTCAAAATTGACTGTCAAAATTGATGACAGTAAAAATTGATGTTGTCAAAATTGATAGCCAAAATTGGTCACAGCAGTCAAAATTGACGACACCAAAATTGACAGTCAAAATTGACAACACCAAAATTGACAGTCAAAATTGACAACAGCCAAAATTGATGACAGCCAAAATTGGTCACAGCAGTCAAAATTGACAACACCAAAATTGACAGTAAAAATTGACAGTGAAAATTGATGACAGTAAAAATTGACAGTAAAAATTGATGACGCCAAAATTAACAGTCAAAATTGACAACACCAAAATTGACAATGCCAAAATTGACAGTCAAAATTGACAACACCAAAATTGATGGTCAAAATTGACAACAGCCAAAATTGACACCAGCCAAAATTGGTCACGGCAGTCAAAATTGATGATGCCAAAATTGACAGTAAAAATTGATGGTGAAAATTAACAACAGTAAAAATTGACTGTAAAAATTGACAACAGTAAAAATTGATGGTCAAATTCAGCAGCCACAACTGACAACAGTGAAACTTGCTGACCAAACTCAATGGTTAAAACACATCTTGTGCATCTGCAACAGGTTCAGCTCATTAAAAACTGGTGGTCAAAATTGATGATGATGAAAATTGATGGTAGAAATTGGTGATCAACACTTACAGCCAATAGTCTGCAGCCTCATTCTTTGGAGGAACTGTATTCTGGTTGATATTGATGTTAGCCATTGTTGGTGGCCAATATCAGTGGTTAGAATTAATCAGAGAGAGCCAGTATCACCATAAGCAACTCAAATCAAACATGTTCAGATATTCTGCCACACCATGCTTAAAGACTGTGGAGCTTCAGCAGTGTCTCAAGCTCCAGACTGGGAAAAGAGACTCAGCATCAGCATGTCATGACACATCATACACATCTCTGGATGAGAGAATCCTCCTTCTTGAATGAAAGGCCACAGGCACCATACCAACAGTTGATGGCATCAGAGAATATGCTGGCACACATTTGATAGGGTGCTAATATTAGCCAGTCACACCATCACCAGGCTGAAGGCTCATTGGCGCATCCAACTGTCAAGTATTCAGCATCAACACAACTATAGTGGGAGATATGATGAATGGCTTTCAGCTGAAATTGCTTTGATTGAATCTAACTACTGATCTATTCAACTCTGCAGAACAAATCATCTAGAACAAACAGTCATGATTGTTCCATATATCTCTAATAATATCCAGGCATCTTGACAGAAGTGCTGCATGGTCCTTGAGTGTTTCTTTTTAAATTTCACAGTCACACAGCCATGCTGGGTCTCATACTGTATCCAGATCAATCACATCTTGAACTATGCCAGCCTCTCTCTGCAGCAACATCACCAGTTCATTGAAACTCTTCCACATTGCCTGCCAGTCAAGAATGTTGCTTTTAACCTGGACATCTCTGCACACCAGGCAGTAGGTGTACATGGCCTTGTTCATCTGCCTGTAGTGGTGAATGTGTGTCTTGTCCTGGGCCTCATCTCTCTCCAACCAGCTCAGGCTCAGCAGGATAAGTCAGAAGACACAAACACAGGTGTAGCCTATATCTAGAATCTTCAGAATGCTGATTAGGATGCCTGGACTGGCATCAGTCTCACCTTCAGGCAGTGGCAGGTCCTGATTGAAGATGTTAATGCACATGTCTCAGTTCTCAACACTCATACTGCTATAGACTGCTGCAACACAGTAGCCTTGCTTCTGCAGCCACTGTATAGAAAGTTAGCCAGGGAAGAAAACACAAGAAAAGAGGATGTGGTAACCTACCACCTCAAGCATGTGAACCATGTGGGGGAATTCTGTCAGGATAACAATCTTCTCTGAACACCTACAATAGTCTCTCCCCATGCTCTGCAGGATGTGTTGAATCACACAACACTTGAAGCTGGAATTGGCCAGGGTATTGATTGCATGAATGTACAGTACCTTCTTGTCCCCACCAGCATGCCACCCATTCTCCATCATCTCCTCATCAGTAAGCTTGAGCTCACATTGCTCAGTCTTCATAAGGTCCAGAAGGGCTGGAAAGATGGCAATGATCCAGTTTATGCATGACTTCTTGAAAAAGATCTGGCTGGAAAGCTCAGATTTAGATTCTTGATCATGCTTCTTTCATTCCTGCAGGCTTCTCATGTAGCTGTCTTTTAGTTTTTGAATTTCACACTGCTCACACTGCTGGAGCTCATCTCTGATCTTGGACTCTAGACTGCAGAGAACATCATGATGGTGGTTGTGAGGCAGCTCCATGATAGGTTTGTCAAACCAACTTGTCTCAGTGGTGCAGCAGATCATCAGACACTTGAGCACCTGACCAAACTGGTGTGCTGCTGACTGGAACTTGATCTGTTCTGTTCTGAACAGCTGCTTCTTGCTGATCAGTAGCTGCACTCTGGCTGAGAGGGTCTTCCATTGATCAGGTTTGGCAAATTACAGTCTGGCATCATTATCTTATTTGTCAGAGGCCAGTATCATCATTCAGGAGAGCATGTCTGTCAGTCCTTTATTATACAGTGTTCTGGAGAGCAGCCAGGTGGCTGGAATGTAGTCTTGCTTCCCTGTGGCTGCATTAATCTCTTGAAACTGTCTGATGGTCTTGCTGTCAAAGCTCTTCTTCTGGTGGCATTCATCTCAGATCATGGCTCACCATCACAATTGCTGGGCATCTTGTTTCTGAATGTCACAGAGGGGTATCATCACATAGCTGGAGAGTGAGCCTGGTGTGGTCAGGAACATGTGCTAATAACTCTACTGGAGACTCAGATCATGTTGTCTCAGCATTGTGTGCTGTACAGTCTGTATGAACACATGGCCCAAGTTACCAACCTTTGTGGGAGTTAAGTCTCCATGGCCAATGAAGAGATTCAGTTTCAGACAGTTCTCTGAGTCACAGGGGATAGAGTTGACCCACTCTCTCACTCAGGAGAGAAGAAGACCTTTGAGCACTACCACCAGCATTGCACCTCACAGCAGTTGACTCAGACAGCATGCAGTCACCCCATCCAGAACACAGCCACACAGAATGGGGAACATATTCTGAGAGAGACATCTTAGATGATGCTGCTTTGAACCCTCATGTTCTTCTTCTGTATCCATGACTGCAGGAAGATGCTTGTTGGCCATTGCAAGATTCTTACAGCACTGTTTGATATGCAGGCAGTTGTAGATGATCCAGGCACTCAGAACAAAGTACAATATCATCTTCATGGTTTTGTCAATTCCCATCTCATCAGTAATGAATCCACCTTGCTCTAACTCTTGATTCTTGAGAAGCATCCAGAATGCACAGTAAAGCTGGTAGAGTGGAGTGTCTTGCAGCATGCCACAGATAAGAATCTTTCTGGTTGAATCCATGCTGTCATTTTCATTCTGCAGGAGCATGAAGAAACTGATGAAATCCCACCATATTTGGCTGTCCATCTGCTCACATCAAAATCTGCCAGGCTTGATGAGTTCCACCAGGTCAACTTGCTCAGTGTTGCCCTCATCACTGGTTTGTGGCTCAGGTCCCAGTTGTGTCACCTCATCAAGAAACTCATAACCCATGTCCAAGAGTAAAGTGTCATTATTATTGATCATCTCAACATCTGGGGAGCAGTGCTCTTGTTGAATTTCACAGGGTAGAGTTGGTGGGCCCTCTTTTTGAATTTCACTAGATGAAGCTGGCAGATATTCATTTTGAATTTCACTGTCCTTAATTGGTACTGATGTTGTTCTTGAAACTGGCTGCTTAACCACAATATGCACAGGTGTGGAGTCACATTTACAGTTATCTCTGATCTGGGTCAGGCCATCTTGAGAATTCTGAGCTTCAGTGGAGGCAGTGGAGACAGCACCTGGATTTGGTGGATCTATTACAGTGTCCAAGTTCATTGGAGTATCTGGGTGGTTGGCCATGCTATCAATTTCTTGTTGAATTTCACAGGGTAGGGTTGGTGGGCCCTCTTTTTGAATTTCACTGGGTGAAGCTGGCAGATATTCATTTTGAATTTTGCTGTCCTTGGTTGGTGCTGATGTTGTTCTTGAAACTGGCTGGGTCAGGCCATCTTGAGAATCCTGAGCTTTGGTGGAGGCAGTGGAGATAGTGTCTGTATTTGGTGGATCTATTACAGTGTCCAAGTTCATTGGAGTGTCTGAATGGCTAGCCATACTATCAATTCCATTGAAGCCATTCTTGTGGTCACAATGCAGCTCATCAATAGTTATGTTCATGTGCATGCTGTTCTGGGGGCTGTCTTGATTGTGTTGAGAGAGAGGACAAGAGGAAGACAGTATGGATGCAGAAGATAGTGAGTGTGTAGTGATCCAGCATCAGCAGGTTGCAGGTATATCATGATGCTCATCATCATCTAAGAACTCTGTCTCTGGACCTTCAGACATGTTCCCATCATTGTTGGAGCTGGTGACTGACATAATTTGTCTTTTTTGAATTTCATGGGTATGGGTGGGCTCCATGTTCCAGGTGATGATCACAAAGTTGAGGGTCAGAGATCCATCTGTTCCTTTGCTCAGAATCTTCTCCAGCTGCATCATGCACACTGATTACCACAGTTGCTTGTTGATGATGATGATCTGCTCATCCAGGCTCTTGATAATCTGAGAGTTGCAATGAAATTTACAGTCAGTAGTCAGAATACTCTGCCACTCTGTCCAATCCTTCTTGGAGAGTGTTCCCTGCCTGTCTAATGTGCAATGTGACAGCAATTTGTTAATCTGGCAGACTGACACACAGCCAGAGACTGTATTTCTGGTGAAGATAATGACTTGGTACAGTTCTTTAGCTGCTGGTGTCAGAGGCTTGGCCAAACCTGGCACATACCACAGAGTGCTTGACATAGTGGGACAGGTCTCAAGAGACTCAAGTGCAGAGAGGAAAGATGTTAGTCTGGAGGCAGCTGTAGCCAACAATGGCTGCCAAACAGGTGTTGATGAGGAAATCTGGGAACTCACAGGCTTGGGAAATAAATCTTGCTGAATGCCATACCACTGTTGTCTTGTTTTCTGGTACTGGACCTGCACAATAAGCTACACAAGCACTCCACAGACATTCTCACAGTTAGACTCACTCTTCCAGACCTGCAGGACCTTGTTGCCAAAGCTCTCTTGAGAAATGGTGTGCTCCACTACAGTAATCCAGCTCTCCTTCAGCACCCTCTTAGCTACTGCTTGATGAAGAAGGTCCTGAATCTCCTTGTTATGAAGCTCTTGCATGACCTTTTTCAGATCAAGTAGCTCCTCCACTGTCAAGCCAAGCATGGCTTTGACATGAGTCTCATTCATTGTTATCATGTTGTACTGGAAGAAATATCATGTCAGTGTTTCTTGATCTGATGTCATACAGAAATCAGGCAGTGGCACAGCAAATCTTTTTGAATTTCACTATCTTTTCAAAACAAAGCAGGATCTTGACTTTGTGATGTGTGATTCTTGATGCTGGATGGCTGCTCAATCTCTCATGATGGTCCTTGACAGTGGTTCAGCATCTTCAGATGTTCAGTCAGCTCTGATCTTGGTGCCTTACAATGCTTAAGTGGGTGATGCTGAACTTACAATGCAGCTATTGAATACTGGGAGGGATAATCAAGAGGTTTCAAAGTCAATGCAATTGTAATTGAGAAGGTTGTCAGAATCAGAAATGTTGTGGATGAGAAGCAAAGCCTGAAGCAAAGTATTGATATGAAGTGAATGTAAACATTACAGGATCCCTCTGACTCTATAATCACATTGGACTCTCATGATGAATGCCATTTGCTGTAATTAGTGACTTGTCATTGTTTTTGCTTCTCAGTCTGTCCTCAATTCTACACATCAAAAAGCCATCCAAGGCCTGCTCCATAATATCTTGCCAACCACTGCTGATCCATCTTCTATCACATTTTCATTGCCTTGCTAAGTGCCTGCCTGCCCAGGCAGCACAGCTGAGCAGCATGAGCTGCAGATACTGGATTCATGGAAAATGCCAGCTTGATGATTGCTGCAAGTTCCAGCACAGCCTGTCAACACAAGCATCTGGGGGTGACATCCCAAGTGAAATTAAAAAAAAGGAGATAGCCCACTGCAAGTTCTGGCTGAGGGGAAACTGCATTCAAGAAATGAAATGCTGGTTTGGACATGTTCCAGCAGAAAAGAAATATGCTCTGCAGAATGAGCATGGCAAAGATATGGGCTCAAGAGTCCTATTCTGTGGCAATTTTCTTGATCATGGCTGACTGAAGCACAGAGCTAGGCCACATATATGAGTGTCCTGTCTGCAGGGAGACAATAATATCCACAATCTTTCCAGTGCTATCAAACTGCATCCATTGCATTTGTCCAGGTAAGAGACTCTATTTAGTGATGTGCTTGTTGCAACACTGATGCTGATGGAGGTCCACAGAGTGCATCACAATTATTCAAGAACAGAACAAGAATGGATTGCTCTGGATACCAGGCAATGACCTGCTGAAAAACAGAGAATGTTGCCCACTGTATCATTCCCCCATCTATTTTATTGTGATGGTCTCAGTCTGGCCACTTACTGAAGATGAGCACTTGGCTGCAATCAAGCAGTATCTGAGATGTTAAAAGGAAACACTGTGCTGGTTCTTTAAAGCCAGCTTCAGAAAATGGAGGCAGAATGGGTATAAGACAGAGTATCTTTATTGTTCCTGGAGGAACAGATGCCACTTCAAGCACCAACTTTCTGGTTCAACCACTCCCTTCCACTTCAAATGGCCTTTTGTGCAGGCAATGATGGACTAATGGCAGAAGACAAGAAGAGAAAAGACACTAGAAGTGTCTCCAGAGGTGGCCAGTGTCCAGTCAATTCCAGACATCTATAACATTGACTCTGATAAGGACTCAGAGGATGGAATGCTCATAACTGAAGAAGAAGATCAAGAGCTGGTGACCATGAGGCAGATCCTCTCAAGAGCTGAGTTACTTACATAGGTTGTTGATAGAGAATTTGAATGGATATATCAATGTGCACAGCTGGAACAGGAGAGACAGGCACAAGAGAATCATAAAGGGCAGCTACTTCAGCCATATCAATTCTGGTAGTGCAGCACCAACAGTGAAATTCAAAAACCAATAGCTAATGCAGAGATGAAAATTCATTCTAATTTCAAGATTTTGTGCTTGTTTATCTTTCTTAATTTCCTTGATGCAGCAGGGAAAGTGACTGCAAATGTTTGTCATCAGTTTTGACCATCAATTTTGACCATCATCAATTTTGGCCATCATGACCAATTTTGGCCGTGTTAATTTTTACTATCATCAATTTTTACAGTCAATTTTGGCCGTGTCAATTTTGACCACCATGATCAATTTTGGCTGGCGTCAATTTTGGCTGTCGTCAATTTTGACTGTCAATTTTGGTGTTGTCAATTTTGACTGTCAACTTTGACCATCATCAATTTTTACTGTCAATTTTGGTGTCATCAATTTTGACCATCAATTTTGGTGTTGTCAATTTTGACCATCATCAATTTTGGCTGTTGTCAATTTTGACTGTCAATTTTGGTGTTGTCAATTTTGACCATTGTCAATTTTGGTGTCATTAATTTTGACCATTGTCAATTTTGACTGACAATTTTGGCATCATCAATTTTGACTGACAATTTTGGTGTCATCAATTTTGACTGTCAACTTTGACTGTTGTCAATTTTGACCATCATCAATTTTGGTGTCATCAATTTTGGTGTCATCAATTTTGACCATCATCAATTTTGGCTGTTGTCAATTTTGACCATCAATTTTGGCGTTGTCAATTTTGACCATCACCAATTTTGACCATTGTCAATTTTGGTGTTGTCAATTTTTACTGTCAATTTTGGTGTCATCAATTTTGACCATCAATTTTGGCATCATCAATTTTGACCATTGTCAATTTTGGTGTCATCAATTTTGACTGTCAATTTTGACCATCATCAATTTTTACCATCAATTTTGGTGTCATCAATTTTGACTGTCAATTTTGGCATCATCAATTTTGACTGACAATTTTGGCATCATCAATTTTGACCGTCAACTTTGACCATTGTCAATTTTGGTGTTGTCAATTTTGACCATCAATTTTGGCGTCATCAATTTTGACCATTGTCAATTTTGACCATTGTCAATTTTGGTGTCATCAATTTTGACCATCAATTTTGACCATCATCAATTTTTACTGTCAATTTTGGTGTTGTCAATTTTGACCATCAATTTTGGTGTCATCAATTTTGACTGACAATTTTGGCATCATCAATTTTAACTGTCAACTTTGACCATCATCAATTTTTACCATCAATTTTGGTGTCATCAATTTTGACCATCAATTTTGGTGTCGTCAATTTTGACCATCAATTTTGATGTCATCAATTTTGACCATCAATTTTGGCATTGTCAATTTTGACTGTCAATTTTGACCATCATCAATTTTGGCTGTTGTCAATTTTGGCATCATTAATCTTGACTGTCAATTTTGGTGTTGTCAATTTTTGCTGCCATATTCAGTTTTGACTGTCCTGACCATCATCAGCTTTGGACTGCTATCAGTTTTGACCAGTTTTGCCTGTTGGTAAAAATCACTACCACTAAGCAAAAAATCCCTTGCATGAGTTGGTTTGGAGTATGAAATCTTGGCAACAAAAATGAACTCTTGTCTGAGGTTGGTGTTAGATAATTATTTTTCCAACCCAACAAAATTCTGCAACAGAAATATCACCAAATTCACAACAACATCATGCACCTCCTGCAATCTCAATAGACAAAATTAAACCACAATTTTTGAATAGCAAAAAGATCTCATGGAGAGGATTCTTTTGGTGGTAATCTTAATTGAAACTGCCCACTGGTTGTGGAGAAAAAGGCCATGTAACAGAAATTACAAATTGGGTTAGCATGAAAAAGGACACTAACCCAATTTGAATTTCCATTACATCTACATTTTTGCCAATAACTCCACAACCATCCATCGTACAGACATAAGAGTACCACCATTCGAATCGTCTCGCCGAGCTGGTTAGAATGGGCCTATTTTTGTTAAAAAATATCAACTTTTGAATGTTATGACTATTTGGCCTATAGAATACAAATACGAACCCAACATGAGAGTACCACCGTTCAAATCCTCTCTCTGACCTGCTTACAATGCCCCTATTTATGTTACTCTACATCAACTGCTTGTGGAGAGAAACACCATGTCACAGAAATTACAAATTTGGTTAATATGAAAAAAAATCCTAACCCAATTTGAATTTCTGTTACATCTATATTTTTGCTAATCACTTCACAACCATCAATTGTACAGATATAAGACTACTACCATTGAAATTATCTCTCTGACTCAGTTACAATCACCCTATTTTTGTTAAAAAATATCAACTTTTACATGTTATATTTTAGTCAGTCTTTAATCTATAGAGTCTGTCCATACCTCTGGTCTCTGAACTCATTACAGTACTTAACTATCTTAATCTGCTTAAAAATTGATTTTCCTGCTTACTGAAATCTAACTCTAACTCTAATTCTGATCTCTTAATATAAATACAAATATAAATATAAATACAATTTAAAAAATAATATTAATTTAATTTAAATTTCTTTTATATTTATGTATTTAATAACTTGCTAATTATTTATTATACAAATATAAAACTATCACTGTTTGAATTATCTCTCTATCCTGCTTACAATAACTTTGTTTTTATTACTATATATCAACTTTTACCTCTTGTAACTTACTTACTATTTGCTCTATACATATATTTATATATAACTTATCAACTATAAATCATACAAATATAACACTATCACTCTTTGAATTATCTCTTTAACTTGCTTACAATCTTTCTATTTTTGTTATAATATATCAACTTTTAAATCTTTTTTCTTACTCACTATTTACTATATATATCTCTATCTCTGATTTTATTATAGTGCTTAAACCTGCTTAAAAATTTATTTCAGTACACACTGAAATCTAACTTTAAGTTTAATTACATCTGCACTCTTATCTGTATCTGTATCTGTATCTACATCTGAATTTGATTTTATTACTGTACTTACTTGAACTCTAACCTGCTTGAATATTTATTTTAGTATTTAATAAAACTCTAGTGCACTTAAATCTTTGTTATTATATTTAGTAGCTCTCTAACTCTGTTTATAGACATACTTTGTCTTGAAATTTTCTGTTTTACTTTTATATTTCTATTCTAATTTTTATTCTGAGAATAGAATTACAATGAATTTATTCTCACCAGAATAAAACTATATTATTTAACAGTATATTAAAATCTTTCTGTGAAATCTAGAATTAAAATAAAACTAATATTAGAATTAAAATCTAACTAGTAGAATTAGCTCAACATCTAATGTAATACAATAAAACAAATCTGATAAACTATAACATAAAATCAGAAATTCTACTTTTATTTGTATTGTTAAAACATAAGAAAATTTGCTAATATTCTTAATATAATTTTATTAATTTTTTTAACTTTGAAAACATAATAAATTATTTTTATAGACATACTATAAACAACAAACACTTTTCAGTACTTATCTTTATAACTTTTTACACTTTCTATCTTAATATTTATCAACTATAAGAATATACATATCTAAACTTGCTTGTGTTTTTGAAGAAAATTACATCTAAACTCTTGTATTATTATTAATATTACATATTAATCTCTAAATAACTTAGAAATTAAAGAAATATTCAATTTTTTTGTAATATTTACTTCAGTACATCTGTTATTTATTTTATTTCTGAGAACAAAATCTTGATTACTAATTTTTTCAAGTACTTAATTATTTATTTTGAGAACTACTTTCTTATCTCTAAAAAGCTTTTGCTCAAAACATTCTTCTTTATTCTTTTTACTATTTAATTTAAGATAAAAACATATCCAAACTTTAACTGAATATTCACTATATAAATCAGCTTTTAAAGCAGAAACATATTATTTAAAAATATTATTAAACTTATTTTGTGATGCTTTTTCTTGATATTAAATCTATAGATCATTACTACTATTTTTTTAGTGTATAATATTTCTTAATTTTCAACTTGTATAACTCTTTTCTCAAGATAAAGTAATTCTGATTTCTTAAAAATAGTACTATCTTGTTTTTCTTGAAAATAAATTATTTTTAAATACTCAATATACAAGTATATAGTTTTCTTTGCATAAGAATATGATTTTTATTTCTGATATTCTTTAGTAAAAGTCTTGAAAATTGATATTAGATCTTGCTGTTTAAATTTAAAAGAAGAATCAAAATTAGAAGTCATTTTCATTATATTTTAAGAAATAATATTCTTGAATAAAAAACAGAAGATAGACTTTTGAAAATTAAAATTACTTATCTTAAAAATATCTTCCAACAATATTTTCTATCTTACTTGTTAGTTTATTTAAACTAGTTTAGTTGTTTTACTGAGAGCTAAAAATATTTATATAGTAAATTTTTCTTTAACCAGAACTACATTTATAAAATTCTGCTCTAGTTTTTTAAGAGAACTAGCAAACTATATGATTTTTTTGAACACTGTAACTGTGAAAATAGCTTCTAGAATAAAAACTATATAACAATTATTAAAGAGTTACAAATCAGAAAACTAAGCTAGTAAACCTAACAGATGTAAGCAATTATATCTCAAGAACTAGTTAAATTAATACTAGCAAGTATACTTTTCAAACAAAACTATCAAATTAGAGAGCTTTTGCAGAAAATCTTTCAAAAACCAGCTGAGAATATTCTTAAATTTAGTAGTAAAGACTCATATTCAAGATGCTAAAGTTAATATTATAAAAATAATATATATTTTGAGCAGAAAAGTAAGAAACACAACTGATTTTTTTAGATATAGTAGCAGTGCAGCACCAGAAAGCTAGTATATCTTTTATCAGATAGGAATGATAGCAAATCTGTCAAGACACTATAAATCTAGCTTGACTTTTTTCTTAAATATAGAAAAGATAATAAAAATTACTTTAATTTATAATATAGTTAATATAGCTTGTTTCTAATTCAAAATAGTTACTATAAGTATTTAAAACTTCTGTTTCACTAATTCATTCTAATTTTTCAGCTATCAAATAGTATTAAATATACTACTTACTAAAGCTTAGTCAGAATTTGCAAAGATTAATTTAGCTCAGCTATACTAATAGTATTAAGTTAATAAAGCTGATTTAGTATTAGCACAAAGTTTAAGAAGCAAAAATCAGATAGCAAGAGATAGAGAGATAAGATAAGAATAAATAAGATAAGATAAAAGCTCTAGCTTACTTAACATATCTTAATAAAATATATGTAAGCAAGAATCTTAGCAAGAAAACTTAAAATAAGAAAATGTTTGATAAAAGAATTTTCAGATAAAAATAATATAATAATATAATAACTGAAAGAAATATAATAAAGAAAATTAGAAAATTTATTTAAAAAGTATTATTAAGTTTATCTCTCAAAATAAAAATCTTGTAATTACTAAGTAATAGTATAAAAAGTGTTTCTGACAGATGTAAAGCTAGTATTATTTGTTTCTACTTATATCTTAATAACTAGTAAAGCAAATTACTTAAAAATTCAAAAGTCTCTTTAATAAAATGATAGCTTTCAAATAAGTATTATTTTATTCAATTTGAATAAAAATCAATTAAATTATAAAATAAGAAGATGAACTTAATTAAGTTTACAGATAACTATAGTTTAAATACTAATAACAATTGTTAATTATATGCTATTACTATTAACTGACATATAGTTTTCTTGAGTTATCTGACTATATCTAAATTATTAATATAATAATATCTTATTTAATTTGTAATTAAAAAAATATCTGCTTAAAGTCTTTAAATTTTTTAGAAAATTATTATTCAAGTAGATATTTATTCTTTTTCTTAGATATCTGAATCTTTTCATTAATCATTTAGTTAATCTAATACAGAAAAATAAGAAATATTTAAATATTTTTCTCTTTCATAAATTAATAAAATTCAACAGCTTTTATTATTATAATAAAATTCTTTTCATTTACTTACATCTGAGCTTGTAGTATTTGTGAAATGATGTAAGATATTTTTTTATTAATTAATTAGTTTGGTTATTTCAACTTTAATTAATATTTTTTATCAATTTTGACTTATTTTAGAATATAACTTAAAACAGTTTACAGTAATATTTTTCACAAGTCAAAATTAATAATAAAGATTTACAGAGAAACTTGATGACCAAAATTTGCAGTGAAAAGTAACAATCAAAATTAATGATCAAAATTAACAGCAAAAATTAATGGTGAAAATTAATAGCAAAAATTGACAAAAATTGATGATTAAAATTGATGACCAAAATTGATGACAAAAATTAATGGTGAAAATTGATGACAAAAATTGATGGTCAAAATTGATGGTCAAAATTGACAGTAAAAATTGACAATGGTCAAAATTGATGGCCAAAATTGACAGTTAAAATTGATGATGCCAAAATTGACAGCTAAAATTGACAGTAAAAATTGACAACAGTCAAAATTGACAATGCCAAAATTGATGGTCAAAATTGACAACGCCAAAATTGATGACACCAAAATTGACAGTCAAAATTGACAGTCAAAATTGATGACACCAAAATTGACAATGGTCAAAATTGACAACGCCAAAATTGACAGCCAAAATTGACAGTCAAAATTGATGGTCAAAATTGACAATGCCAAAATTGATGACACCAAAATTGACAGCCAAAATTGACAGTAAAAATTGACAGTAAAAATTGACAACAGTCAAAATTGACAACACTAAAATTGATGATGCCAAAATTGACAATGTCAAAATTGACAACAGTCAAAATTGACAGCACCAAAATTGACAGTCAAAATTGACAGTCAAAATTGACAGTTAAAATTGACAGTAAAAATTGACAACAGTCAAAATTGACAATGCCAAAATTGATGGTCAAAATTCACAGT